ACTCGGGCCACACTGGCGCCAGTATGGCCCGAGTGGCAGTGCGCAAATACTTCTAACAGGTTTTGATCGTCTAACCGCCGTGCACGGACGCCGGCGCTTACTAATCCAAACCCTACACGGGTCGAACCCTAATAACATAGTAATTCGGCTGATCAGAATCACCGAGTTCGAACAGTTTTTCGCTACTACAGATAAGATTTTCTAGCCCGTCTATATACAAGCCAAACAGATGTGGACTCAAAGGACATATTTGCTTCACGCCCCTGTTACTCGCAAACATTTTCTTGGAGACTCACCCCTCCCCTCTCTCCCGGCATCGCATGTCGGGCGACAAGCTCTGTCGCTCCAAAGGATCTTCTTGATACATTTAGGCTCCGAATGCTCCCCTGACCCCTTGGGATGCTTCCCCGTTTCCGCCGCTAGATTCGCTGGTACCACTCCGCGGGCGCCCGCCTTTCGCGTGCGGGGTATCTTTCTGTCATCTCCTCTTGAGCGCCGTCTCCCTCAACGGCATTCTCGCTCCCGGTGTCCCCCCCCCCTCTTAGGAGTAGCCCCTACACCAGGCTGAGTGGCGGCCTCCCCCGTAGGATTAGCCCCTACACCCATCCGAGTCGGGGGGCTCAGACAACTAGGGCCGCGAGCACCCCCCTCCTCCTTCCCCGCATGGGAGCCAAGCTCAACGATCACGGACGGCCCGCGCTCATCCACGATGACATCGCGGGAAGTCAAAATCCTTCCGTTTTGCTCTCAAAGAACCCGGTAGAATTTGGAGATGGGCTCGTACCTCAAGAACACCCCTTGCTCGCTCACAGGCTTCATCTTCTTCCGGTTGCCCTTGGGCACGTGGATGTGGCCTGCTCCCCAAACACCCGCAAGTGGCTAAGGTTTGGCTTCTCCCCGTGGAACAACTCATACGGGGTATTGCCGTGCACGCTCGATCCAGAAACCGGTGCCTAGTGTAGTTGGCCGTCACCATCACTTCCGCCCACAACTCCGGCCCCCACCCAGCGTCCTCTAGCAAAGCCCGCGCTCTTTCCTCGAGCGTCCGGTTCAGCCGCTACGCCGGAACGTTTTGTTCGGGAGAATGCCCCACCGTGGTGCGGTGCACCGTCCCTCTGTTCTTTAGGAGGGCCGTCATTCCTTCGTTGACGGACTTCCCGCCCCGTCCGTTTGCACCCCCTTGACTTTCTTCCCCGATGGCAACTCCAAGCGGGCGTACACGCTCTTCTTGACCGCCGTGACGTCGCTCTTCCGCTTCATTGGTTGCACCAGCGAAAGCTTGCTATAGTCGTCAAGGAAAGTGGCCAAGTACCTACTTCCCCCCTTTGACGTCACCGGCATGGGCCCGCACATGTCCATTTGCACGACCTGTAGGAGTTCTTGCTATCCTTGGAGTCCGACTCCTTGGGGAGGGGCTCACGGCCCGTGTGCTTTCCGATGATGCAAGGCTCACACACCGACGTTTTTCTGTTCCGGAATGCCTCCGCTTTGACTCCACCACCCCGGACCGAGTTCCCCTCAACCATCTTGGCTAGGCTTTTGTACCCGGCGTGCCCCAACCTGCGGTGCCACAACACCGGGCTCTCCGCTTCCCTCACGAGCAAGCACGTGTCCTCCCACGTGGGCTTTGGTTGGCAAACCACAGACATGCTCTCCGCATTCTCCTCCGCTCGAAGTACAACCTCTACATCTGTGGAAACCTCGCACACCTTCCCACGGAACACAACCTCGGCTCCTACCGCGGTGGCTTTCTTGACGGAGAAGAGGTTCTCCGCCACACCCGGAACATAGGCAACCTCACGAAGAAGGTTGACTTGCTCACCTTCCGGCGTCTCGCATCGCAACTCCACCGTGCCCACCCCGGCTACTTTAAAGAACCCTTGTTTCCAAACTTGATTGCGCAATTCCCCGGCTCAAGCATCTCCAACGTTGAGAACGAGCTCTTGACCCCCATCATGTGTTGGCTAGCCCCCCAGTTAACAATCCAGCTTCCGGTCTCCGCCCCTTCCCCCGCTACCAATGCAACCCCTTGCCGGCCCCCAGTTCCCCCTTTCTTTGGGCATTCCCTCTTGAAGTGGTCCGGGCTACTGCATATGTAGCATTAATTTCCGACTTGGGCTTCTCCGATTCACGACACCCGGCCCGGCCCTCTCTTTCAAAGTGCCCCAGCTTACCACACTTGTGGCAGGCCATGGAAGCCTTCCCCGGGCCACCCTTGCCCTTGCCGGCAAAGTTGCCACCCGTAGCCGCGTAGGCCACCGCCGTTGCCGAGCTCGAGGCCCCGCTATCTTGCTTTCCAAGAAGCCTATGCCTTTTCTCAAACACTTGCGACGTCGGAAGAAGCCCTTCCACCTTGTCTAGCTCCTCCTTGTGTCACGCCCGTTGATGTCGAGTGCGCTGTATGTCGAGCGTGTTGCGCACGCGCCGTGCACCGCATAGCTAGCTAGCGCGTGGCTCTACCCGCCACGGCTGTCGCAACACCGCATGCGTTCTCGGGCCCGGGCTTCGCACATGCGCGCGCACAGGCTCCGGCCTACATTGCATGACGACATACGCGGTCCTTGGTTGCCCTACACAAACCAAACCGCCTTTGCATCGGCCTACAGCCGTTCGATTTAGCGATCGACGTTCATCAAACACCGCCAACTAGACCCGATTGGCATCTCGTACCCCTGGTAGCAACCTGATTCAGCATATCTGGCGATTCCTTCAATAGCAATCGCATTCTGACCGTGCGATGACGGGTCGACGGCTCATATTCTGCCAGCATATTTGTGCGCGCGCCAACATGGCGTCATCTCGTTTGACCACCATCCATGAAGGATAGGATATTTCAACTCGATAGTTGTCCCCATTCTTAGATGAAGCGTTGCTAGTATTTCTCACTGTAGCGTTACATTAGCGCAAACTTTACATTCTACGACGACTTGCATTCGATAGAGTTTGTTAGACCCACCGGAACTTTGGCGACGTGATGTAGCTTTCGATTATAGTGTGATTGTAGACTATGTTGCATTAGAGCGTTACGTATGTAGCGAGGACCTTTGTAGGCTCGATAGACATGAGAGACCATGCGCGCCATCTGGCACGCAAGGAGGACGCATTCGCGTGCTGCAGGACGGAGGACATAAAGGCGGAGATCATGACCAAGGCGCTGGCTCCGGGGAAGTTCAAGAAGTGCAAGAGCGAGATAGGAATTGCATAGTCATTAGTGTGAGTGGGAGTGTTGAGGTACGGGCATTTAGGGACCGATTTTTTGGGAATTCTAGGATTTTAGGATCACGACATCGACGGTAATTCGACGGTAACTAGAAGTTACGATTACACGGTAAAATGCGCGCCGGTTACAACGTCGCACCCGAATGACTTGGCGATAACCGTCGATATTGTGTAGGTTCGATAATGGCCGTCGATGTACGGGATAGAGTGAAATTTCGGACTTACTAGGTGACGGTCCACAGGCTAGAGTGTAGACTTAGAGATACCGTAGGCCGTGACTCGGAACACTCCATATACATTGTGTGAACTTGATAGATTGAATATTACTTCCAACAACGCTGTGTTCCAATAGGTTCTGGGCCTACGGCGCTAGGGCGGAAGGATCAGCCAAGGAAGCTCTCCGTGTCGCGACGGACGTTGGTAAAGAAGCGGTCTCATTCACTTAGAGCCATTGAGTAGGCAACACGTGGAATCCGCAAAGAAAGAAACCACCTTCTTTCCGCAAGAGAATCGGCAAAACGCGGTGCAAATCAGCCTATGGTTCTCTCTTGTCAATGAAGGCATCGGTGG